GAGCCCCGGTATCCCTGGTTACTGAAAGCACCTAAGAAGCCATGCAAAACAACTACGTTTAGTTTTAGCCAAAGAATACCTCACTTATGTGCCTCATGTAGGTTTCCCAGAACTATAAAACTCTGGGATTTTCTTCAACATATGTATGGAAAACTACATGAATAAGTAGTTGCTATGGCGTCGCTTATGAAGGCCCAGTCACCGCTGAGCTCTCCTGCGTAAACTGCAAGCTGCATCGTAAATCATCTCCCGCTCTGCCTGACATGCACACAGTAACCAAAGAGCCACGGATGCCAACCTGGCAGGCATCAGGTCTCTCTTTGTCTTCACACAGATGCCACGAATTATTCATTGATGCCAATTTGATAATGAAATGGAAGCGACATGTTCGTCATGCAGGCTTTTTCACCAGCAAGGCGAGTGTATAACAGGTTACGGACCTGTCACCCCACGACAGGCCAGAAGATTGCTACTTGTTCATCCATGTCTGGATAATTAGGTAGAAGCTCACAGGTGAAACACCTTAAACACATGGTGCACATTTCACTCCCTTAAACTGTTGACATTAGAGGCAAACTCGAAATGGGGGCTGTCAAACTAGTTTGAGATTTTAAATTTGGGTGGCTATGCAACATATTTGAGGGTTTTCATAAACCCGATGAGGTGGGGATGATGTATAAAGTAGGCACATGTTGGTATCATGGCTGCTACACGGCATCAAAGTTAAGGGGCGATTTCACATGACTGCTATGCATCTTTCATTGAAAGATGAAAGTTAGTGTTAGCAATGCAAGATCAGCTTTGATGTGGATTGAAAGTATTAGTGCTAACAGCTATAAAACAGCATGTCTGTGTAGGCCAGACAACTGCCTCCTGTCTGTACCTCATCTTTGTTTTCTTACATTATTCCCTCTGCCACTCTCCCTCTCGGTAATATTGGAGTCTTGTCAATGAGTACTTAGGCCCGTTGCCTCACGGGGAGCCAGACTTGCTGGCTAGGTTTTATGGCCCATTTCAGAGCTGCCCTGGCTTAAATACAGCCTCCTGCTGGCCACATGGCCACAATGTCGTGCCATGTCCATCCGGCGAAGTGAAGAAGGGGGGACGCTTGGACTCCCGCCAAAAAGGTTTTACTGAGGCCACAAGCATATGTGGCCATGTGGAGGCAGGAAGACAAGGAGGTTGCTGTTTTAACATCCTGTGTTCCTTAATGTCCCACCAATGGTGCTGTAGTACATTTAAAAACAAAAAGTTTATAATAAAATATCCAGCTAACCTCTTTGACATGCAAATGTATCTATCTATATAGAAAATGCAGGAAATTTAAAACATGTATCTTCAAAATAATAGCAGTGCTCTCAGATTTCAGATAAGGATTTTCAGATAGGATTATGATTTAGGACTAACTGGATGCCAACTGGAACAAGATACAATATATGCCACAATCTCCAGATGATTAATGCAGATCTCATCAGTGGGACTGTCATTTCTTGGTCATGGTAACACAGAAAGCAACCCTTGCCTAAGCAGGGCAGTGTTTTAAAAGATAATCTCCTTTGGCACATGCAACAAATCTCTTCCATTTAAAACAGGGCACGCCATTCAGTGTCTCTTTTAAGCATGAAGGTGGAAATCTAGCATTGCACCCCCTGCTGAGGATTAGTACTCTATGCATTAAAGCCAAACATCTCCCCAGCGTCAGTGTTTAGTCTGTTAAAATATACATTAAGCTGATTGGCAGCAAAACTCCTCCCAAACCTACATCTTTATGTCTTAATGTGGGAGTTAAGGTCTGGCAACAAAAGTGCCTGAGGTCAAGTTTTTAGCTTTTTTGAAAAACTGTTCTTAAGATCTGTCACAACTAAAAACGTGGACATTTTTTTTTATTAATCTTGTGCTATAAAAATCAACATTTTGTTAAAGTCACACTTGCATTGCATGGCTGCTTAGCCAGGAACAAATATACAGGACTAGATTATTACACAGTTATAATGCTCAAATTTTAGGCTATTGTATTGTGCTGTGTGAATAAGTTAACTAAACTGAAGTCTCAAGACATGCTAACTATACCGAAATTGGTGGAAATCAAAGGAAATATGCAGAAGAAAGAAAAGTAAAACAGCAAATATGTTTACATTACTTCTAGTTAAAGTAATTACAATTTGAAAACAAGTAAGATCCAGCAAATGATGGAAATCCTCTTTATTCGATGAAACGCATTTCACTGACCAAAAATGGCCAATATACCAACAGAGTGTTGATCTAACTGTAGAGTTCTCCAACCAGATTATCAGTTGAGCAGACCTGCAGAGAAGCAGCTTACAGGGGCCAGACTGTTTCCCCAAGCAACAGGCTGCTATTAACAAAGGCCCAGCCTTAAGCCCTTGTCTACAATGATACTAATTAGCAATGGAGCAGATGTGCCTGGAGTTGTGCCCACCTCAGGGTGCTGGGCATGGCCAGCAGTGTCGCGACTGCATTTGCTGGTGGCTGATTCACCTGTGACCTTTACACAGTAGGCCTGGGGTCAAAGCTTCTTTATAAATACAGTAGAAGCTGACACTAGTGGAACCTGGGTCTGCTCTTGGCACCCCTCTAGGCTCATTAGAGACTTCCATATGTGCAACAGATCAGGATTTGAATAAAAAGCCCCCTCATGATAAACATTCAAGCCAAACAGAAACAATGAAACTCAAACCTGATCCAAGTTGGCATTATTCTGACACTGAGTGCTTCTTGGTCTTTGATGATTTTTTAAAATATTATACAGTGCTGTCTTGAGCCACCCCTTATTTCTTTATATTTTGCTAGGAAAATGCAAAATGGGTCCTGTGATTTACTGACACATTTACATATACATGGAAATAGAGTACACAGGGCAATTCTAACAAGCTTGTAAGTCAATACTTGGTATGGCCACCTTTATTCTTTAACACAGCCTCTTATGCAAGCTTCCTTATAATTTCTCTGGGAAGTCTTCTGACAGCTTCTGGCGTTCTGACAGTGGGCTGTCAGAACTCTTAATGTTAATTAAGAGTGTGAGCAGACTTCTCCCATACAGTCATTCTGTCGCTGCTATTGATTGGCTATGTTGCTGCTATTGCTACTGACTGTGTCTTGTCCAATATCTTGGCAGATGTGCAATTGCCATCCCTATCTTTAATGACCATGGCCCTTCCACCTTTATTTATTATATTATATTATGATGCCCTTGTATACACCCCCACAATGTTTCCTGTAACTTATACATAGTGGAGTTTTTTTTGCACCTTTGTGGTCTTGTTATCTAATTTCGCAGTGCAGGCAACTGTAAAACGACAATAAAAAAAGTTCAAGGTCAAGTTCTAGTTTTCCAGGCTTTCTGAAGGATAATCCTGTAGCGCTTCTATGGATGTGGACTATCTTTTGTTGCATTCTCTGAGAAGATGATCGCAGGTTTAATACATTAATAGTGTGTGTGGGATCATTGTGATGATGAAAAATGAAGCCAATCAGACACTTTCTATATGATATTTTACAGTATATAAAAAATCTGATGCTACTTTTCTGCATCAGTTTTGACAAGAGCTCCAAAACCACTGACTGAAATGCAGCCCCAAACATGACAGAGCATCTACCATGCTTCACATATGGCTCTAGGCACTCACTTTTTACCTCTCCTTAGACCTCCTCAGTACATATCGAGGAAAATTTGAACCAAAAATTTCAAATCTGGATTCATTATTACATAAAACCTGTTGCCACTGATTTTCAGTCCAGTTCTTATGTAATTTGGCCTCCTTTCCTTAAGAATGACCTCTTGGTAGCTACCCTTCCACAAAGACTATTTCTGATGAGATTTTGGTGAACTGTAGATGGATCAACTGAAGTGCCAGATGCATCTGTCAGGTTCTCTGTCTGGTCTTTGCTGGATGATTTTTCCCTATTTCTTAAGGACATGACTTTCAGATACTGTTCACCTGCTGCAGATTTGTAGCTGTGCCACTTCTTCCTTTGCCCTTCATTTATCCAGTTTCCTCAAACTTTTTAAGGACGCACTGCACACCATGTCAAGTTTTTGGGTAATAGGTCTTTAGGAATCAGCTTGTTGATGCCAAAATACTTCTTTATGTCTATCAAACAGTTTTCTTTACATTCAACTAAAGAAATGGCAACAAATTACGTGTTCTGTGACAGGCTGATAGTAAGAAAGTGCTTAAAATACAGTTCAACACTGTTTTTTTTTTTAGTTGACTGTTATTTTTAGACACAAGCGTTGAGTTAGGTGTTTTTTTCATGTTTGAACAGTTAGGCCAGTGGTGTGTTTTACCAGAGAAAAAACATTCCTTTGAAAATAGTCAGGTACAGGGATTGGACTGAAAAGGAACGACAGAACAATAAAAAGTCCAAATGAAAAATCAAAAGACCTTCAGAAAGCCTGTAAAACTACTTTAAAAAACCTTTTAAAATCACTTACAAGAAAGTCTGACTCCTTGGAAACAAAATATAAAGAAATGACGGGTAGTTCAAGACCAGTATTGTACAATTTACTGATAGTGTGGAATTTTAAACTAGATTCCTGCAACAATTTTATCATCTTTTTTCATCTATCCTATTCTATACAGTCCATTTATTTCACAAAGTGTATTTTGTATTACTATTATCACGTCCTCTACTCATATCCATTTTACTATTATCTATATATAAAACGTCAGTATGCTTGTTTCCGATCGATAAAGTTTCATTGCATAAGTCTGAGGTACGCGCAGCTTACCCAAGTCTTACTAACTTGTTTACAAAAGTGGGTATGGAGAGGTATAATGACAACAGCTGATTATGGTTTGGACAAAAAGCTGAGAACATAAACATGAACTGTGACACAAGCAAGATGGCAATACATGTGCGACATGCTTCATACTGTAAAACTCAGACAGACAACACAACAGCAGCTACAACATGAGTATGTTTGCTTGGACTGAGCCAGTGGGTTTCTGTGCACCACTTTAATATACGGCAAGTACCTGAGTCAGACTGACATCTCCTGCAGCAGCTGGTTTCTGTAGGGTTCAAATTTTACAATTTACTTCACAAAATATTCATTATATGACACACATTTGATTGTGAATTGCTCCCCTTTTCAAACAAAAACACACGTCAGTGACCAGATGGTAAAATATATCTTGTATGCCACTGACTACCTGAGAATCAGCTATGACTGAAAATACTACTGTAAGGAAAATTATGGACATTTCTTACTGTTACGTCATGTCATTCCCACCTGAATAAGACATTTCCCTAATTTCTTCAGTACATGAAGATGAAGTGCTTTCCACCTTCGCACAACTCCCTAAAAAAGGACCAAATGTATGATTACTCGGGGGAACTAATCAAAAATGAAGATAAAATTAGCTGCTGCAGTCTGCTCTCAGTTGGTCTTATTTGTTCTGTCAGATAAAGAACAGCAAGTAGGCGGAGGCCCTCGTGTCCCGCTTTGACATGAGGAGGAGAATCCACCCACAGTAACACCTGGCAACTACATGCAAATTTAAAACTAAGATTATCTATATTTTCAGGTGCGGATCACACCATGAAATAAGCTTTGGTTTTATAAAACAGTACAAAAAAAGTCTAATTATTTTCACAAGAGGCCCAGTGTTTTCCTTCAGCAGCACTTATAATATCACAAACTGTATAAACCACTACAAAACTTGAGACTCTTTTCCTCATTCTGTCTTCAGTCACAGTTTAACATCTGTTATTTGGAAGATTCAATATCAAATGCGATCAAAGTCCCATTTGAGGTTTCACAATATAACGAGAAGTGTAAACACACTACAGCCTATAATTACCTACAGTGCATTTTCTTTGATTAAAGTAAAGCAACAAAGGGCCCTGCACTTTCCACAAGTATACAAATGGCATCAGCAATCGGCACGCTCCAGCGTGCTGTTATTTTGATTTGGAACTCGAAAAACTTCAAAGAAAAAAGTCAAGTTGTGCAATTTCACAACTTGGTGTGAACCCCCCCCCAAACATGTTCAATACAAAGAACAAGAGATTCATTGAAGGCGACAAAGCAACAGTTATGAACAGTTGGAAGTGTGGATGCCTAGTTTTTGTCTTACCATGTTGGTAATTGTCCCAAAGACACATCTTTAGCAAAGAATTACTTGAATAATTGCCCAAATGCTGTACTGACTGACTGACTTTGCTGCACTGCTAAACAAAAACCCTCTCAGTGGAGAGAAAGCCAACAATAAACAACCGAAATTCTGGAGACCGAAGCGTTCGATTGGCGTCAGTGGGAGAAAATAATTACACCTGACTCTTAATCGTAACAAAAACTTCATTTTGCAGTTTGTGCTAAATACACGGCGTTGGGTTTGACAGGTGACGCAGAAAATAAATATAGTACAGGACACCACTTAATCACCAAATTAATAGATATGTAATTTTATATTAGATTGTATTATTTTATTAATTTAAATCACAACAGCTGTCTCATGCTTTATATTGTAAGTTATGATCCTACAATAATAACACCAAGAACCCTTCAGTGCCTGATACTGGATAATGGGAAATCTGCGATACCCACAATAGTGCTTTTACTGGTATCTCACTTGAGTCGCTGCAGTCAGATTTTTAAACTGAAACCTGTTGCTCCCGTATAAACTCTTGGACCGTGACAGAACAGTGAACTGAACCCAGTGAATTCCTTCATGTGCCTCAGCAGTGAGCCTGGCTGGTTGCACTGTGTGGCACTGAGGGGAGTGGGTGTGATAAACTGCCAAGAGTCTCGTGGAAAAACGCTGCCTCAAGTAGGTCAGAGCAACTCAGAGAGAGATAATCAAGGCCATTTTGACCCCCTCTGTGTGAGCTGTAAGTGGGTCAAATGCAGCAGTCAGCTGTTGCAACTCTATCACGCGGGGCGCTGCGAGGCACTCGTCATACTGTCAAAGCCCATTCCGTTAGTTTAAGACATGGCAGGGTGCCTGCTTGCACCCACCAATGCAGGAGTCAGCCTTCTATCTGCCCCCCTAGGGGTGAAATAATGTGAAGTTCCTGTGAGTAGCAGCAGCAGCAACAGCAGTGGCAGCAGATCCACCTTCCCTCTTGTCACTGAGTACACCCTCTACAAACACAGCAGTCTTTATCTGTTGTCTCCTCCTTTTGACAGCTCACAGCTTTGCAGCCTGGTCCTCTTCGCTGTGGCAAAGACTCTTCCTCAGTCCCCTCTCCGTGTCTAAAATGCCACCCACATTTCTACCAGACTAACTCCAGCAATGTCCCTGCTTATTTCTCACTCTTCATTGAACAGAAAAAAAGGGAACTCATGTGTCTAGAAACACTTCTGAGCACAAATCTGCAACAGCAGAACAAAGACAGCCTAATCTTTGCACTACTGAGGGGCTATTTTAAAGCTCTTGCTCTGTGTTTCTCTCCATCCCTCCCACCTTTCTCTCTTCTCTATAACATTCTTCCTCTCTCCGAACCCCTCTCCTCCCCTTCCCTCCTTCTTTCCCCCCTTGTTTCCCTCGGTGTCTGAGGGCAGCAGCTTCTGTTTTCCTCTCTTCTCTCCCTGCGTGTCCAGTGACTGACTGCACAATACACATCAATTATTCATGGCTGCTCTCTCTGTTTCGCAGGCAAAACCAATCACAGATGGAGTCACTGCTAATGGGCTCCTGCTGTACTTGCCACCGGCTTCTTTGCACTCAAGCAACAAATACCCCAGAGACAATGAGAGGAAAAACAGGGATAAGCTGTTAAAAAAAGAAAAAAGAAAAACAGCAACTTCACACAGCACTAACAGCAACAAGAAGGAGAGCAGGACACGCGTTTGTGGTCAGAGGAGAATGCAGGTACGCATCGTGACAAAAAAAAAAAAAAAAAAATCACCAAAATTAGGAACCGGCTTCTGCTGCAGGAAAGGGTTAAAAGACTGAGAAGGGGGTGGGGAAGGGGTGATGGTGGTGGTGGGGGGGACAGAGAGCTTGAGAGAGAGGGTGGGAGGACAGGCAGAGAGGGAGAGAGAGAACCAAATGCTTATCTCCTCACCTCGGATGTATGCAGCTGTTATTGATGTATCTTCTTTTTCTGTCTAGTGATCCATTGCTTGCTCTCCCAATACACACATCACACAGAAGCAGCCACAGCCACTTCGCCAGAAGGGAGAGGGAGAGAGAGAGGGAGAGAGAGAGAGAGGGAGGGGAGGAGAGGAGAGGAGAGGAGAGGAGAGGGGAAAAAAATGCAGGCAGCTCACATTTCAAACTTGCAAAGGGGGGTGGTGCCTAATGTGCTAGACAGCCTGTATCTTGGCCTGAGTCCAGAGCAACGAGTAAAAGAAGCCTCAATCAATTCATTTAAAGCAACATTTGTTGCAGTGGAGAAACACTGCGGGCCCCGTCAGAAACGGTTCAGGCAGGTACACGAATCTGCGGTTTCAGCCCTCGAACCTTCTCTTTGCAATACAGTCGACTTAATCCATCAAACTAGTCATTGTAATTAAGGGGCATGGAAGAGGAGGGGGGGAGGAGGCTGGGCGTTGTGGCTTCCTGATGCGCAGAGGGTTGGTATCAGCGAGGGAGGGGCCAATTAGACCACATTTGTCTTTCAGCACACATGAGCCCGGGTAAGCTTTTGGATAAATAATTACACACTTATAAAACATGTAAACTGTGAGTACACAAGCCACCTGAGGCAGCGCAGGGGCTTCCATTGTCATCCGCTAATAAAAGTACTTGCACTCACCACAAGCGAGTCAAATCGGGTGTCAAATTAATGAAACTGATCTCTAGCTAAAAAAAAAAATTGCAATAAGCATTTAATTAGAGACATAAGGTACAATGTAAATCAATTTTAGTATGCAAACAACCAGTTTTCTTGTACAGTAAATTACTGAGCCATATGGGGCATAGCTGAAGATGCTACACCTCCTGCTGCCACAGACATAATAACTGCAACAACTACAAAGGAGGAAGGACAGACAAGCTCAACAGCTCTTATCTCTAGTCTCTCCTGTCTGTATTTGCTCTCCTGGTATTTACTATCAGCTAAGTGCACGGCGGGTGACTTACAGCCCAGCACCCCTGCTGCAAGTTAACACATCAATCACGGTTGGCTGGAAGACTTTCACGTCTAAGTGATTACAAAGTACAAAAACCCCCCACACAGATTGTCCAAAGTGGATACAGTGTGGATTTAGTGATTCTGTAACCAGGCCTTTAAAACTCATCTTTAAAATACCACAATAACTGGAGCCAAAGTCTGTTTTCATATCCATCTCCCTTATTTTACCCAAAAGTTCCCCTAATGTGGTTCCCCGAATCTGTATTTGGCTTTCTTTATGTTTATGTTAGCTTGCTTGAGAATGATAACAATAATGGGTTTAAGACTAGGTATCACAATAGTGTTTATCAGTGCTACCTGCTTCAGGATCTGTGCACGCTTACATAAAAAAGGGGTATGTCATGCATCATGTGACTCTTCTTCTGCACAGAATAATGCCTATGAGTGCTGTGTCCTCCAAATCATTAAAAAATGTAACAGTAAAACGCAATGCTGATGCAAATAATATGAGATAAACGCAGCAGAAAGTCGTTAATCATGGAATTTAGTGCACAGAGCAGTAAAATAAACATTTTAATTTCAGTTAATATAGTTATTTTAACACTGAGTGCACTCTCTGTGCTGCTGTTCATTTCTACTGTGAAGGCTGCACATTAGAGCTCTGAAACTTTCGACTGGACAGATTTCTTCACGTATTTAAACATTAGAAACAGTTACTGTCTCATAGGCTACTTAAGGAGATGTGGAACTCTTTAGATTGTCATCAGATCAAAGTGAAATTTAACGTATTGATTAAATTGAGTTATTTAATATGCGTTCTATTGCCTGTAATTTCAGCAGTGTGAAGGAGACTTAGCAGCAGATTAGAACCAAGTATAAACAACATCTATACATTTTCTATGTCACCAAGTGAACACATACAAACTCCAGTGCTGAGCATCATTCTTTACTTTCACTAAGGTACGGGTTAATCAAGTTGTGCATTTAA